TTGAGTGTTACTCACTCCTGGATAGGTTGGGCAGACTGGAAGTGGGAAATCCACAATTGGTCGTCTTCTCTTCCGCTTCTTTGAACCAACCGACGGTGAGATTCTAATCGATGGCCAAAATATTCTCAATGTCACTCAACAGTCCCTTCGACAAGCCATCGGTGTTGTTCCTCAGGTGAGCTTTCTAACCTCCTCCTCCTCTTCTTCAGACTATAGGTGTGGATGTTTTCTTTGTGGTTCAATGAGAATCGTTCGCTTTTTTTGCAGGATACAGTCTTATTCAATGACACAATTGGCTATAATATTAGATACGGCAGACATTCAGCAGGACCCGAGGAGGTTCAAGCTGCCGCCCGTGCTGCTGAAATTCATGAGCGTATTGAGGAATTCCCTCAGGGTTATGAGACTGTGGTTGGTGAAAGAGGTCTTAAACTCTCCGGTGGCGAGAAGCAGCGTGTTGCAATCGCACGAACCGTGCTCAAATGTCCTCAGATTATCCTCCTCGACGAAGTATGCTCATAAATAATTCATGCTGCTGATTAATTATAAGTAGATGATTGTGTATAACTGATATTTTAGGCTACGTCTGCTCTGGATACAGGCACTGAGAGCTTAATTCAGGATAGCCTTAGCAAGATTTGTGAGAACAGAACAAGCATCATCATTGCCCATCGCTTGTCCACAGTGCGGAATGCGGATGAGATCCTCATGCTGCATCAGGGAGAGATTGTGGAGAGAGGAAGCCACGAGGAGCTTTTGGCCATTCCAAATGGCCGTTACGCCATGTTGTGGACGAAGCAAACCACAATGGATATCTCCAATCAGGAGTGATAAAGAGGTGATTATTGACCTACTCACTTTGTTGCTACAATAGAATTATATCGCTGGCATCTTTGTATTCTACTTAGTCCGCGTTTATTCACGAGAGAATGTGAGAAGGAAGTGGGTTATGTTGGCTTAGCATAATAACCATGTTAAATCTAATTGATATAAAATGGTTGACAGACCGAAAATTTCTTCCACCAAGGATAATGATTGATTAAATGATTCTATCTGGTGAAACATTTTAGAAGGCTGTAAACTTTTGGCAATGCCATTGGTTCCTCATTTCCTGCTCTTAAAACAGAAAGCAGAGTGATTGCCAACGTATACCTCGCGAGCCAAGCGACGTGAATCGTCATTTAACTAGCCTCTTTAATAAGTACTACTGGAGGTGATCAAAAAACGTGCGATGAACTAGCCATACTCAAAGGTATCATTTGTGTGCTGAACTTGATGGTCTAAAAAGTCATCTGAACTACGCAGGCTTCAAGCGTTCAAACCGTCTTCAGAATGACGTTTACTCTTCGGCAGGTGTGTGGGGGTGAAGTCCGGGGAGGGGGGGGGTTGGGTGGGCTTTGACTCATTAGCATACACTAATCGAGTGATTAGACTTGGACAAATTTGTCTGATGTCATCACGCGAACACTCGAGCTTGACTCGATTCTTACTAGTCCTGGTGGTTGCGCCATCTTTGCTGGAGGAGGGAGTCTCCAAAGTAGGCTAAATTTGCTAAATTCTGGAAGTTTCCATTTATTGATCCGTTCGTTTCTCAGTGCACAAACTTTGAGATTTAAATGCTTATACACAAATAAGGAAATCGCCCATTGAAGTGTGATTGTAATTGAAGCAGGTAAATGAACGCTCTCATTTACTGACCAAATTGTTTCTTCAACCATATGTACTTAAATTCAGTGAGTAAGAAATTCAATTAGAACAGAAGTGCCCGCTTAAGTTACCTTTCTTCTGGAGAATTAGTAGATCAAATTAATACCCCACCGAATTAACGTTTGATTGCAACGGCGCATTGATATTCAGGCTTTCAGTGGATGTTTGCATCCAAAAAACGCTGACTCATGTTCTTCTCTTGGTTGGGTCTGAATTTCCCTCCCCCCTTCTTATTATGATGATTATTTTATGAAGGTGTGGGATAGACTTACCTCTTCGTGGGGCACCCTGGGCAACGTATACTCATACGGCAAAAAAGTCTAACTGGGCAACGTATACTCATACGGCAAAAAAGTCTTTTAACTGGCAGTTGACCTCTCACTTCAAACGACTACGACCCCACTGTATGTCATATTCGACTACTTCCACAGTACTCGCTATAAACTGGCAGTTGACTTCTGACTTCAAACTGCCATGATCCCACTGTATGTCATATTCGACTACTTCCACAGTACTCACATTATTAACTGGCAGTTAACTTCTCACTTCAAACTACCATCACCCTAAGCGGCAGTTGACTTCTCACTTCAAACTACCATCACCCGCACTGGCAGTTGACTTCTCACTTCAAACTACCATCACCCCTCACTGGCAGTTGCTTTCTGACTTCAAACTACCATCACCCCACCGTAAACCGGCAGTTGACTTCTGACTTCAAACTACTATGGTCCGACTATAGTTGACTTCTGACTTCAAACTATCATCACCCCACTGCACTGGTCCATATTCGACTACTTCCACAGTACTCACCTCATCTTTTTCACTCTACCTTTGTGTCTCCATATTCGACTACTTCCACAGTACTCACCTCACCTTTTTATATTCGACTACTTCACAGTACTCACCTCACCTTTTTCCGACTACTTCCACAGTACTCACCTCACCTTTTATCTACCTTCGTATTTGAAACACTCTTCTGTTCCCCCTCCTCGTCTCGACTTGTTTTCGCTTTGATGTTCCTTCCCCTCTGTGAAGCCTGAAGTCAACCAAAGGGCTAATGATAATCATCAAGACGCCTGCCATTTGATATGAATAAATTATTATTTTATGACCTGCCGATGCGTAGTTGTTCCAACATCCCTTGCCTCCACAAATGGGGATCTGGGACTGTCTATTCTTGGGGGTGGATTGGTCTGACTATCATGCCAAATGAGTTTCACAACCAACATTGACAAGTATTAGCCAAAAAGTGTTCTTCTGGGACACTTTTACCACAAGGGGTTTTTGAGAAGTGATATTTGAGATGATGCCTCGATTCCCTGGTTTTTATTAACGCAATTTCATCATTAATCACTTCAGAGTGGAAGTTAGGCAGAGCACAATGTGTCTGATCTTATTTGAACGTGGAATCTGTGACGTTGAGTTTTGAAAAGCAGACTTTGACTCCCTTCACACTTCCATACGAGCGTGTACTTTGTAATGGTTTCCAACCAACCAACCCTCCCCCCCCCTCCCCTTTTACCCCACGAACTTTCGACCACATGATGGATTCTTGAACATTCGGAAGTCAGGTGTTTTTTTTCGATGTGAATTCACTAATGAAGTAGCATTGGTTCGGAGTAATTAACTGCTTTTTTAATTCAATTGCAATGACAGTTTTAAATGCCTCCACCCACCCCCGCCCTCCGCCTCCTCCTCCTCCTAATCTACTCCATTTCAGGAAAATCAATCTATCTGCTTCCCCCCCCCTTTTCCAAAGGAGATTTTTCATTACTGTTGAGGAAAAAACTACTCCACTATTGCTGCTCCTTCCCCTTCATCGTGGAATCTGTCCTTTCCTCGTGTTATTTAGGGCTTTCGCTTTGTATGCCTGGAATGGAGCATTGCAAGTACTTCTTATTTCACTCGAAGATCTTCATTCTTTCTCTACTCGATGACCCTCACTCTTGATTCAACGAATCTATCAGAACCTAGTTCAGGAGCCCGTTCGCTTTTCCTCCTGTTATTTTATAACCCTCTCGAGGGACTTCTGTTCATTCTGCCACTTGACTGAGCGTTGTTCAGCCTACCGAATGGCAAACTTCTTTGTAAATTGTAGTTTTATTCGGCGTGATTATTCTTTAAGCCCTCTATTGTCTCACAAGCATCATTAGTGACAAAGGGGAGTAAATTCAGTCAGGTCTCTCTTTAAGAGGTGAGGGGGGGGGAAGGGGGAGGGGGGTACAGTCTAAGACGCTGTTTCATTAGAAATTCAACTCACATAATTGTGCTCAGGAAACTTCTGATGATTCATTCCACTGTCACACATGATGCACAACTTTCTGCATTCATTAGCAAGATCTTCAAATGCGATTCTGAGATGTCGACTGGAGATATTCACTTTTCAAGCTTCTCGTCGATAAAGCGCAGTAAAAGTGGTCCATCAATTTGGAACTTCGAATTTAGTCTTCACAATGCACTTTAGTGATAAAAGTGCATTTGGGATATTTTCCATGCCAAGTGATGAGAGACTGTCACAATTTCGCGTATTTATAAACAATAAATAAATAAATAATTGTTCTTGAATGAACGACACATTTGAATCTTCCATTTTCTTCAAGTCCTCAACAGCAGCCTTATTTTTAAACCATCTCTGCATACATCCTCACTTTTTTCAAACCAGATATCAGAAAGAAATTGGGGGCTAGAGTTGCCGTTTTACAGAGAACTACACATTCGAAGTTTTGTATTTAAGTTGAAAGCTTTAACAATTACTGCATATTGTGATTTGTAATAATTTGTATTTAACTCCTTTTGCATGAAATTATTATATTAGATTACCTTTTTATTTCCAAGCGTGATTTCTTGGTCACTCTATTC